AGTAAATACAGTATAATAAATTTAAATCTACAGCATGTAAATATTAATATTTGCTTTGGTTGTTGTTTTAATGCAAAAAATTAAATAAACATAATATTAGATATCGGCAAAAAAAAAATACAAACAGAATGTCTCGTTTTGCCCCGCATCATGTTGGCATCGAATAGCCTAATTTCCAGACTATTTTATTGAAGAAATAAAATACCAAAGAATGGAAATGAAAGAAAAAGGCCTAAAGATTCTAATTAAAAAAAAAACTTTAAATATAAAAAGCTTTTCCACTCAGTGAGATCAAAAAAGGCTAGGAAAAAATATAATAACAACTCTTAAAAATTTGTAATTTTCGCGAAGCCGAGGGATGAAATGATTCCCCTTTTACTCAACTTTTTTATTTCAAAGTGACTCAATATATTTTTCATGACACAAAATAGTTTTTTAACACAACCGCACTTTTAAAAATCTTGCAAATAATAACTTGTAGGGCTAGCATTATGTTAAACGCGAACTCTCTCGTATTGCCCCGCTGTCTCATTTTGCCCCGCGTTACCCTAGTTCTGAGAACATATTGCTAAAAATGTCTTTGAAAGTGATCTCGTGATTTTTACTTTTTTTTTTAAAAGCTTCTTATTGTTTTAAGAAAGGTCTAAAGAAAAATGGAGGACAGTAATGTTAAGTGATAAGATCAATATCGAGGTTGATAACCAAAAAAAAAACAAATTATGATTCGCAGGCAGCTTTCAGAAAAATCTAATCTCGATTGTATCGTTTAAAGAACAAAACAAAGTAGCGGGTCGGCTGGAATATGGTCTGCATGACATACTGTGATCTCGGTATGTTTAAATTATTTGATGGTTGACTCAACTTTATTTATTGCGTCGATATTTTAAATAACAACTTGTTACCATCAATTGATGCACACGCAAAGCGTTCCATTCTTTTTTACGCATGGCAACGCACCATGTCACAGGGCTAAAATCGTCTCTGAATGGTTCGAAAGCAAAAATACTGAGCGTCTAACTTTGCCACCAAATAACCCAGATCTAAATTGCATTGAAAATCATTGGAGTTGGCTTGATAAAGAGATTGTTAAAAAAGCACCAAGGAGCCTTAGGAATTGCGCAAATTTTTGCGCAAGTTTGTTGGTAAAATATTGCGCAATAATTGCACAATATTTTACCAACGATACTTGGAAATATTTCCAAACATATTTTAGAGAATTTAATAGATTTAATGCCAAACCGTATAATTGAGTGCCTAAAAATTCATGGTAGAATTACGCGGTATTAGGTAAAAATTACCGTTTTTTGTTCTGTGGTTCTTAACTTTTTCACAATTGTTTTAAAATAAAAATTACCTACAAAACTTCAAATACATTTCTTTTATTTGTTTAAAAGTCTTTGGCATTATTATTTTTTATTTTGTTTGTCTATTTTCTAAAATTTTTTTTTTTTTTGACCAGAAAAATATATTTGGCTAAATAAAAATTTAAAAATAAAAATCAGTTATGATTTGCTTTTTGGTGGTTCTTAAATTTTTCACAATACTGTATAATTATAAACCAATTTCAACTTTAAAACAACTATTGAATAATATGCACAGACAGAAAAGTTACAAGCAGTTAATTACTGACAAAACGTAACAACCTACCTATTTAACTAAAATAATAAATATAATAATCTTAATATCAATAATCATAGTGAAAACAATAAAAGTACTATAATTATTTCTTTAAAATGTAACAATAATTAAACAATTTTTTTTTTCAAGTAACACTCACAAATAAAAACGTGTCACACATACACATTACACAAACATGTCACACATACACATTACACACACAAACACGTACACACACACACACAAACATTACACACACATATCACAAATACACATCACACACACACACACACAAACACGTACACACACACATACAGCGGCGGATCCAGGATTAAGTGGTGGTGGGGGGGGGAGGGTAATGCATTTTTCTTTAGGATGAGGTACCCCCTCTCAAAAATCATCCCTATGTCCCATTCTGTCTGTTCGGCTTTAGGGACTTTAGTGACCGTAGCAATAGGTCTGCATACGACTGCAGAATTAGTAGGTAGTACACCACTGGGCAAACTCATTTAATATGGAGCGACGAATGCAGAATTTGTAGGTTGTGAACCACTGGGCAAACTCACTTGACTGACGTCATCAACTGTTGTAGTTATAGGACTGGAAAATAAACAAAAAAGAACACGGTGAATACCCTTTTAGCATTTTGTAGCATCACCACTACTGTAAGTCAGGATTAGACGAATTCGTGAATTAGTCACTTTTTATTTTTAAATTAGTCACTTTTTATCACACTAATTATTAGTGTAATTGAGTACACGAGTTGCGCGAAGTGTAAAGTTAATTGTCCAATGTCCACACAAAACCCATTTTGTGTGGACATTGGACAACATTAGCTTTAGTTACTTTACATAAACAAATAAAAAACAATTGAAAAAAAAAT